GGCAGACCGGAGATTCACTGTAACATGTAAGGAAAGTGGGCGACATAGAATCACTCTCATGTGAGTTAAGGTCGAACGGAGTTCCGGAATAATCCAAAATAAAACGCTTCACGTTTCTCTTTTAGCCATGGGCTTCGATTTAGCTGAGCATGGAATCTCGTGCTGCACTTTCACTGACAAATGTACACAGCTTGTAAAGAATGCTCTGCGTTTTGAAGAAGCGGGTGCGCCAACACACAGCCTCTTAGGTTCTTCACGGACATTTGAAATCTAAATTCGATTACATTTTTAACAATTCCAGTGCAGCTGAATGCAATTCATTCCTTACACCCTCACCTCTGGGTATGTAGAGCAGCAACTTTTTTTTAAAAAGCTGAAATTTCTATCCATTTCACCATCCTAAGCATAACAGCCCTGGATATTTATGCTGCTTGTGGCCATTGAGTAGAGATGATCACCCATTTCCTGCGTCAGTAAAAACGGTCACATGTTGATTAATAACTATAAGGCTGTTTGTTTTGCATCTGGAATATGTTCCCTGGATGCTTCATGCCTTTTTAAAGAAGGCCTCCATTCTGCTGTGATCTGGGAACACGTTGCCTCTTAATGGATAGACCTCATTCTAAGAGAGTAGATACATTATTAAGACCATTATTCCACATATAGCCTTCGGATAGGCTTGATATTTACGCTTTTTTTGCTAGAATACCAACCCTGGTAATCAATGTTAGTGCTACTTTCCAACTCCCTTCTGGGATTATTTTGCCAGATTACTGTATCTAAACCTTTGGCATGAAGATAGCAGAGGGTGGGGGGCGAGATGGTGGGGGGGCGAGGTGGTGGGTTATGGGCTATAGCAGCAGCGGCCGCTGTTTGGCGTCATAAGAAGCCTGTTTCCTCCAGGCTCATGGACAAAGTACATCCTGAATTGTAAATGCTAACAAAATCGGTGGTTAAATGTATCAATTTCCTAGCTGTAGTTTACACAGGTAACGGGAAGACTGGAAACACTCACTCTGCCCACAGCAAAAGTCCCTGAGTGACAAGCCGAGCATCAACAGCAGTTTTAGAATCATCGCTAAATCCCCACCGCGGAGTCCGGAACGGGTTTGTTTTGGAGGCGGACAGTTTGGGCTGCACCCGGGCTGCCCACAGTGACTCATTAACGGCCCCATCGGCGTGTAAGCGATTCAAGAACAGGCAAGATGGAGCAAAGCGGAATCGGATGAGGTGGATAAAAGAACTGACCTGGGGTGGAGCGCGCTGTCACTTGCCTGCATGTGAATCTATATAGATGGGGGATGCATGGGCGGGATATGTAGCACGACGCTCTGTGATTGGCTGACCTGAGGGGTGGGAGTGGCCCCGCAGTGACACATTGCCAGGGTGTCTGGCAGGTACCCACCATGCCACACATAGACACACCCCCTCAAGCACACATTCAGCCATTTCTTGCGGAGGATATCATACAGTTTGTGCGTGCCTTTCCGGTAATAATTGTAATTTTTCGTTTTCGCAGACGCGGAAGTGATTATCGTCTTGTGACTCCATTTTCTGTCCGTGTGCTGGCACCCCCTGCTGGACGGGCCTCTAAATTCGTTCCCTCATTTTATCGCCGACACAGAGGGTCAAGCACAATGAATATAAAGCAGTTCAATTTCTACATTTCATTACCTGGGGAGTACAGTCGAGTGAGGGGGCGGACCTGTCACTCAAAGCCCAGACCCCAGTGGCACCAATTAGCTCACTTGTGTCTTCTCCCCGTAATATCCCACACGTGGGCTCAGAGGAGGGGTGAGATTCGCTCCCCTCCCAGGTCGAGCAATTGATTACAAATACTGATCGTTGCAGACACCCTACAACTCAGCTGTTGGTGGGTGGGATGGGGAGGCATATTTGGGGGGGGGGGGGGGGAAGGGGGGAGGGTTGCATGCCAAGGTATACGCTGGGTTGGAGACAGAGTGACCCCTATAATGTCCAGGTGAGAAACAATCGTGAAGAATTCATTTGTGCTATTACATATTTATATGTTTGCCATATTAACATAAATATAGATAGCTTGATTCAACAAAACTTTTTCAAAGCATTCTCAAAGATCCTGGAGGAAAACCTGGAGACCAGAGAGGCTCATGGAATAAACATCTCATATCTGGATCCTACTGCCCTCGATAAATAAGATCAGGGTCACACCAGCTTAACTGGGCGTCGATGGGAGTTTGGTGACAGTCTTCAATTCAGGACGAGTGTTCATCCATGTTTTTATTCATTTTTTACACCTAGCCCATTTCCACGCATCATTTACCTCTCCTGCAGACGAGCTCAAAGGTATTCGAGATAGGCACACTCTGTGACTCAGACGTGAGCAAATCCATGGATTTCACTCTCAATGATTCATCGCGCACATCCGATGAGCCTGTATCTCCATCTGAAACTCTGCCTCAAGTTGCCATCCATCCCGAGGGACAGAAATCACCCCACGGGTGGAGTGGTGCGTTAACGGGCCTCTGTCCTTCGCGAGTCTGCCAGCCTTTCGTCTGGAGGTGGATGTTTTTTTCCCCCAGGAGAAGGACGGGCAAGAAGATTGATTCGGCCGGCGTGTAATGAAAAGAGAGACGCGCAAGAAACCTAACTTCTAATCGCACTTAATGCAATCGCCACCTTAATGCATCATGTACTCAGGTCGACTTTCTCATTACTTGCACGGTCATGGAAAGAAGGGTGCGGGGCCACTGGGGAGCATCTGGAGGCAGCCATGCAAAAATGGGTTATTTGGCTTTGTTAGCAAACCGTTTTTGGGTCTTTGGGTCACATGACTTTTCAGTAGCAGCCGCATTGGCTGATGTCAGACTGTCAACAATAATTGCTGAGCTGGACAAGATGTCTCTAAATACCCCAGGTAGGAGTTACATTCAGGGAAATGCTCGGGCTGCGATCTGCTAGTGACACTTTTGCTGCACTTGAACCGTCTGCTGCTGTTGGCAACGGAGGACCGCAAACCCACAGCTGTCCCCTGCCCCTTCATCCTCTGGCAAAATAAAAAGTTGTGATTCTCGCGGACAGAGACGCTGGTTCTGATTCTGACGGAAAGGAAGGGGGACCGTTTAAGAAGCAGAAGCGGTTCACCCCCCCCACACAAGTGACAAGCATGCTTCGTGATTCAGGGGTGGATGATTCAGGCCATGTGGAAGACAGCAGCCCCACAGCACGCTGACATCTACGGCTGCGTGCCAAGAAGATTGTCGCGGCTACTTACGCCGGTGATACCGCCGTGTCTAAAGGACTCGCGGCCAGCGGGCGCTGTCTGATTTACTGAAGCATTTCCTCACCAGGGTCGAGGGTTAGAACGTAGAGATTCAATTCCCAGATAAAGTGAAATCAGTCTGAGTTAATTATGGAGGCCAACGCTAATAACACCTGCAGTGCCCGTCTGAGTCTTTTACTGGGGGCACTAGCATAGATGTGATCGCCATGGCGATTAATGGGAACTTAACCTCCTTGTCCCAAGAAATGATGTGCTGCATTCTGTTTTCCTGTCCTGCACCTATAATCCTGAACTGAACATAATTTTATATACCATAACTTACAGTGTCATCTCCTGCATGCATTATCCAAAAGATTTTTTGTTTTGTACTGTAACAGGGTAATACTTGCCCCTTCTGAGAGATATCTTCATGAATGCTGCACTGTTTACCGTGAATTTATGTGGGATTGCCAAAGCTGCGCCTGAAAGCTCCTCACTGCCTGCACTGCACCTGCCTGACAGGAAGCCAGCCACTGCGCTGGCAGATTCACCTCAATCCTGCCCCCCGCCCCCAGTTTATAAATAATGACATTTCCTACTCTCCCTCCATAGATCTGGAGGAATTACATAAAAGCACCGCTTGTGTCTGTGAACAGAAAAGGGGACAGGCTACACATTCATGGCAGAAACAGGGTGTGGGTTGAAGAATATGTCTAAATAGGGACAGACGGATCAATTAGCTGATTGACACTGGATGGTGCAGTAGCATGAAGTAGTGATGGTCAAATGAATCTTCATGAACCGTTTGCTGTATTCTTTGACCCCACTAGATGGTGCTGTTGGCTTGCTTTGGGGGATGCTTTGAGCACTTTTTTTTTTTTTTAAACAGAGAGCTCCATCTAGTGCAGTCAGAAAATACAGCAGTTGGTTCATGAAGCTTTATTTGACCATCACTAGGATAAAGCTCCCTGGAGCGGGTTCTGGCACTAATGCAGCTGCTGGCTCCACCTACCTCTTTGCAGAGAACCGCGAATCTGCAGTATCTTCATTTTGATGACAGGGACCCAAATCATCGCCATCAGTTTCCACTTGCTAGACAGCAGCATTCGTGAACCATAGGTGGAGTTTCTTAAAGGGACAGGACTGCATCGATACTTTATTGTGATAGGATCACTGAAAAACATAAATCTCTCATCCCCGGCACCCACAGATATTTACTCCTTATGTTCACAGTACCTATATTATTTATTTAATACTCATTCAATTGGTATGCATGGATGTATGTGTGTCTGTATGTATGTTATTACAGAGGCTGCTAGATAATTTCATTGTGCTTGTGTAAACCACTAGCATGATGACATAAAACTCCTCTGTCCTTGTTTTGGAAAGTTCTAAAAAGATTTTTTTTTTCTAGAAAAGGGTGCTGGGGTGAAAGATGTTCTATAGGAAAGGGATGGCTAACCTGCTGGTGCAACAAACTTAAGCATAACAAACCTAACATCTTCAGAAAAAAAAGTGCAATTTTGAGAGCTCCCATAATTCACAGCAGGGCAGGGCAGGCACACAATTCAACTGTTTCAGGTGGAACGATGAGTCGATTTTCTGTGCTACAGAGTACCACCAAACGACAGTGAGGCCCATGTGTCAATAAGCATCTGCAGAGGACGTTTCTATCGGGGGAGGGGGGTACATTCCCTCAACGTGGCACGCCCCCAGGACGTTTGATTTGAGTCCGAGTGGCAGCTGCTAAACTCTGTAATGATGCGTCCCCAAGCAATGTCCTTGAAAGCACTCTCTCCATTTGCTGGAGCCTGAGGCCCAATAGGTGCAGGAGATTACTGTCAGGAGAATGTTCTGCTTGGGTGCTGTGAGGGGATCTGGGCCAGTAACAGCAGACTTCATCATCGTCCCAAAAGCTCGCGAGGATGTACTTCTGCTACGTGCCGGCTTTCCGTCGGAGGAAATTCTCCCATTCCTGTTCCCTCAGCACACCAGCTCCACATCGTCGATGCCTGCAGGAGAGTCAAAGTATGAATGTAATCGTGGCATCGCGCCGATCCATACTGTAATATTCCGGGCCGCTCAGATAATCTGATCGATCTGATCTGAAGAGTACCAGCAGTGTCTCTCAGCCGCTCCGTCATGAGAGGCTCCGAGCTCTAGAAATGACAAACTATGGAAAAAGGCCGAAAGCAATTTTCCAGGTCATTTCGCCTGCCAGTTTTACATGAAGGCAGTTTCGACTGCCTATCCTGAGTTAAGGCTGACCTTTCAGTTATGATGGCTGATGCATGTGCGCCACACACTCTGATTATGTCTGTCCTGTCATTTGAGTATAAATTTACTTGAATGCTTACAAATTTGGCAGAGTGCCCTCTAGTGGACTACAAGTAAAGTAGACTTTTTTATCTTGCCAACGAGTCGGACTGGTGGGCGTGGCAGCTGCCAGGGCCTGCTTCCCCCAACGATATCGAGGGCCCCTCACTGATTGCAAATCTCACATATATGCAGAAAATAAACCTTTGTGTTGTTGTAAATGTCATAAGGACTGGTGACATGCTACTTTTATATCTCGCATTTTTATGTATTTTGAAATGTAATAGTTTGCAATGTTTTGTAAACTATGTTGTCAAGGTGTGTGTTTAATAAAAAAAAAGCATGTTTGTGGAATTTGCTATCTACTGCAGTGCATGATGGGTATGATATTTCTGCAACTGGCGTAGGCAGGCCCTAGGTGTGAATTTTGAAGGGGGGGGGGGCGGGGTCCATTTTTGCCCCTGGGCCCAGTATACAGTTGTTCTGGTACTGATTGCCGACATTAAAACAAAAAGCAAAACAAACAAACAAACAAAACATCTGCATGACAGGAATCGTTCGCACTGTATTTCTTAGCGTGGAAGGCTGNGTTTGCAATGTTTTGTAAACTATGTTGTCAAGGTGTGTGTTTAATAAAAAAAAAGCATGTTTGTGGAATTTGCTATCTACTGCAGTGCATGATGGTTATGATATATCTGTAACTGGCTGCTGCAACTAGCATAGGCAGGTGTGAAATTGGGAGGGGGGGGGGTTGGCATTTGTCCCAGGGCCCAGTGTACAGTTTTTCCGCCACTGCTTGCCGACATTAAAACAAAAAGCAAAACAAACAAACAAACAAAACATCTGCATGACAGGAATCGTTCGCACTGTATTTCTTAGCGTGGAAGGCTGTCCGACTGGCGCGCTGAGAAGCCTGCAGGAGCTCGGGGTTGGGCCTGCGGGGGATACGTTATACGTTTTCCGAACAGGAAGAGCAGTGCTCGTCCTTGACGCGTTGCCTCACTGAAGGCACCACCAATCACATCAGCCCTGACAGATCGCTGAGGCTCACCGATCCCCCACCTTATCTCTCTTTTTCCCCAGGTGTGATGCTCACCTTCAGCCCAATCTGTATGATAATGTGTCTCAGAGGGCTCCAGGTCGCTCCGATATGCTGACGCAGTGTTCATCCAGGATTCATCCGTAGAGTCGACAGCTGTTGCAGTGTCGGGAGCCACAGCTGGTGGGGGACGGGCTTGTTGGTTTAGTGGTCTTTGATGGCACCCACGTGACGACCGTGTGGGAACACATCGGCATGGGGTCAGGTCCGTGTCGGGCGAAGACGTCATGATGACAGGATGATGACAAAGCCTGTAACTTGGAGACCATCCAGGTGTCAGTTGGAGCCCAGCAGTCAGCGAGAAGCTGGCACAGGTGCCTAACAGGTGCCCAAGGTGACGCAAAACCACCCCCCTGCCAGACCCCCTCCTGACAAACACGTGTAACGCCAATTTGTCATGGTGCACTCCGCGAGGAAATGCGCTGGGAAAGAGAGCACGCACCTCCCGACAGGTGTGCTGTGAGACTCCAGCTGAGCTGCTCAGAGGGCTTGCTGGCGTTTGAGTTCCTAATATGTTGGATGCGATCTCTGTGTAGATTCCGGTGCCTTTTTCCGGAAGGTTCTAGAAGGTGAGCCCAATGTCCTTATCCTGCATGCAACATTGCAGATAGCCAAAGGCAGTCTCTATTTCCATAAGAGGAAAACAAAACAAAAGAAGAGCTGTTGGATTCCTCTATATGGACAACTGGGGTGGGGGGGGGNGGGGTAACTGAGTGGGAGTGGTCACTCACCAGTAAATGGTAAATTAATACATGATAACCCTCCTACCTTCTCTATATTTGCATGGAAAAAAGGGAGGGGATTGGTATTTACTCAGGAAATGAAATCAGAATGACTCCCCCCCCCCGACGTGGTGTGGCCGGCACTTCCCCAGCGGAAAACTAGAACCCGTGTTTCGCTCGTAAATAATAGAAGGCTTCGCCGGCGGCCTAATGACACACATTTAAAGTTTAATGCCCGCAGTGAAATCCACTCGGTACACAGGATTGCATTTTAAATGCACCATGATCAGAGACAACTACCCCATATTCATTTTTAAAGTCATGGGCTTCGGCATGTAATCCTAAACAGCCCCCCGGTGGTCACAGCACGCCGTTACTTCTCCAGTGCATAGCAGGTGACGATGCAGCGTGGGTTTTCAGCTTGATGGTGTTGGTGCCCCAGGGTGACGGAGAAGAATCTAGTCAATAAGTCAATGCGAATCTCAGCACAAAGACGCTCCAGCTCTGTGCTCCTATAATTATCCAATCTGGGTTTTTGTGAAGGTGGAATAAGTATCTGAATGTTCCTCAAAGGGAGGGATATGTCACTGGAAGATGAGGTGGGCTGCGGGGGTGTGGCTCATATCCCTCTTCCAAGGGTCAATGTGGCCGCCCACTGATCGTGGATCTGGGGTGAACTGGAACGGCGTTTCACGATCAATCGCAGGAGGAGAAAAGTGAGAGAAACTCTACATGCTTGGGAACCCACCGACGGTCCGTGTTTTTGCACCTATCCAGCTCCCTGCCAAGATTTTGCTCAAAAACGTGTTCTGTCTGCGGGTCCCTGAGGACCCAGCTCAGAAATACTGTGTTAGAGGAATAATTGGAGTTTATCTGGGTTTGATCTATAATTTTAGCGGTCATAGCTGATAATTAAGCACAGCCCAAAAACAAGAGCGACAGTAAGGTTACAAACAACATGTGGCAGCTCAGTACTACTAAAGGACAACAATCTGCAGGGCAGGGAAGGTCCGGCTCCCTGGCTTGGCCCTTGATAATGTATATTACACATAAATGTTTGACATACTAGGGCATTATACCCAAATATTCAAATAGTTTGAAAATAACTGAAATCAGGCATCATTTTATAAAGCATGTATGCATATGGCTTGGGGTATATATACCTGGTACATTTCAACCTGGCGTCCTGACACTCTCTGTCCCACCTTTACAGAACCTTCTCATCCCTGGTCTCCAGTGCTTTCTGTGGGCAACTTTTATGTTCTTTCCACTATCACTGCTGCTGAAACCAGCTGCTGCCATGACAAGATCACCACCAGCCCAGATACACATAAAGTGCTCCACCGACTCGTCCACCTCCTACTCCACCCACCACCCTGCTGATGACTTTCGTCCAAGTCAACTGGCAGCCAGTTCTCTGCACCCACCACTCACATGTACCCCCCCCCCCACTTCCAGCACAGACTAGCATCACCACATTTACCCCGAAGTCTGCAAGCTGCTCCCCACAAACAGAGCCTAACATAATCAGAACATAAATTACCAACTGCGCTTAAGCATCCTCAATCAAGTTCCTGACATTCTCAAAATTAACAACCTCTTGGACCCTCTCCAGCCTGTTTTCACAGCTGAACACTCCACCGAGGCAGCCCTCCTGGCTGTTGTGGATGTCCTGAGAGCCACAAGAGCTGCATCTCAGCCATATGCTCTCTGACTTCCCTGCCGGCCCTATCAGTCACTGCAACATCACTGTACAGCTTGGATCATGAACAATGTCTCCATCAAGGTCTGCCAGGAACTGAGGGGCAATAATAGAACTAGCTATGCTTTACTGACCATACAGCAGCTCCTAGTCTTCTATGCATATAACATCAGGAAGACCAGGGTTTATTTGTTAGAATATTCAGCTTAGTTCATAGTCCAGGCACTTTTCTGCTATGCCACATCCTGATGAGAGGGACGATTCATGGTGCAGCTTGACGGCAACAAGGGGCTTTAATGAAAATGGACTGACTAATAAAAACAAAAGGGAACACAAGAGGTCAAAACAAAAGCAAAAGACAAAATAAGAACTAAAGGGGTTACATTTAAACACAAGGAAAAACTGAATCCAACAGGTCTTGACATGACAGGATCATAAAACAAAGACAAGGACCATGCAGGAACAAATACAAATACAATGCAGCACACACAGCAGAACAGGAGCGAACACAATGGCCGACTGAGCAGCAGAATAAGTGCAGGTACTTAAAAACAAAACAATGTGGGATAGACAAGGGATAAGTGCGAGACATAATCAATTAACAAAACATTGAAGACTGGAGTAACAAAACACAGGAGAGGGTAATTAACAACACTACAGATACAAACATTAGAAGATACTGGGAACTCAGGCAAAACAAAACATAATAACTAAACGGGACACAGGTGAAGTAAAGCCAGGAGCAAAGGTATAAACAAAGACCGAAACTGAAATACATGAACACAAGGACATAATAAACTCAGGGAAAACAGAATCTAAGGGCACAAAAACATAGAACAAAATCCTAGCCTCTAGCCAGCCTCTAACACACAACAGAGGACTTGTTTGGTTCATAGCAGCCTAGGAAGCAGGGGGACACACTGAGAACAGACCAAACAGCATGGCCAGCGACACCTACTGGGCAAACAGGAAAATGATGTACAGAACGATCCTGACATTTTTCATCTGGCTACTAGACTACTGCAGCTCTTCACTAAGAGGGGCAACAGCTTGTTCTTTTAATCCATTGCAGAAGATTCAAAATGAGGCTACATGTCTGGTATCTAATTGGCTAAAATGCTCTCCTGTTGCAGCTCTCCTTGTCTCTCTTCATTGATTCTCTATAGGCGCTTTCATCAAATTCAAGTTCTCACGCTGGCTTTCAGAACCGTTAACAGAACAGTACCCACCTCCACTGAGTTGCTCATCAGGACCTACATTCATTCTGTCTTTAGTCACCATGTGAAAATAAGTATGACTACAGTTGTTTTTTGAGTGTGGTTCCTTGGTGGTGAAATGAGCTACCCATTCACATTCAGTCATCAGAGTTCCTCTCAACCTTCAACAAGCACCTCCAGGCTAATCTTTTCAGAAATTCAACCATCCACTCTGTCTTTATCTACTGTCCCTTGGTTACAAATTCATGTCAAAACTGGATGCTCTTGTATTTCTGCATTTGTCACATGGAAACCTGGTCCACATCATGTTTTTTTTTATTTTAACAATTCTACTTTTTGGTTTTTATGATATTTTGTGACATACAGTTAGCTCAGATGCTCAGATGCTAGCTTGTTCCAGCTCCTGCCCATTCACTGGAAGTTCAGCCTACCTGCATTAATAAGTAGCGGGCTGCTTGACAGCTGTATGCTTGTGATGCATTATCTGCTTCACAGACTCTTCTAAACAAATAAATTCAATAGTGACTAATTGTCATCCTTGACACACCACACCGCACAACAATGAAATGTGTCCTCTGCATTTAACCCATATGTGAAATCATGACACAGCTGTGGGCAGCTATTATTTAGCCCCTGGGGAGCAGTCGTGGTACCTTGTTAGTCAGGGAGTTAAACCAGCAGCCTTTTGATCACAAGTGTGCTTCCCTAACCATTAGTGCACCACTGTCTCACGCCCCACTGCAGTGGCAACTACCAGTCCAGTCCTTCACTACCTGTCAAATCAATACGCGCCATTCCTACACTAAAAGGCCCACATGCCAGATTCACGGAATCTTCAAATCCATTTTTAAACACCCACCTTAAAATTTCAAGGTTCTTCTCCTTTTTGCGAAGCCATGCTTTCTCATTTCCAACAGGCTTTAAAAGAGAAATTCCCTGGGAGCTGGGTTGTGGGGTGGGGGGGCTTGCGGACAGCACTGAGGAAACGACACAGGTAAACCACAGAGGAGATGCCAGTTCCCATGGGAACCTTTAGCCAAATTTTGCACAGACCTTCCAGACAGGGAATCAGAAACAGGGAGGCAGTGTGGTTTAATTGAGTTGAACTATTGTTGTAACATCTGGGTCACCTTTGCTTAAATTCCCTACAAGGTGTGACATCATAATACTTGACCATTCCATACTTTTTAAAAAAACAATCTGTATATCTTTGAAGTGATCTCTTAATAATAGAATATTTTGTCACCCTCACAGTGTTACATATTGGCGCTTGTGCTGTGGTAATGTTAGCTGGTAAAAAAAAAAAAGAAGAAAAAACTGAATTTGCATAAAATTACCAATAACCATCCATCCATCCATTCAATGTATCTATCTATCGTTTTTCCATAACCACCTATCTGGTATGGGGTTGAGATACCAGGTTATATTCATAAATAAGGATAACACAGACAAATTTCGAATAGCTACATACGTTTCACAACTAAATGCAACTTCAACAAAAATAAACTGTATTATTAATTGTTGGATTAATCTCCAAATTGTTGAGGTGTCTTTCTTCAAATTTCCTAGATTAAAGATGGCTAGAAAATGAACTCTGATACATGTAACAGATGTACAATGGCATATTTCACATTGGAGATGTAAAACTGATCCACGCTGCAGGTGTCTCACTGCAGGGAATGATGGCTCCTTTTTGCCAGTTTAAGTGATGTGTTAGTAATAATCCAGGACCCCTGCTTTGCTGACTCTCATCTGCGCAGGTCCTGGTTTATTTCGGGAGGTGTGGCTGGCTTGTAGAAGTGTTCACGCTGTTCTCTTCTTAATCCTTTCATAGGTGTTTTCTCTTCAGATCCACATGGAGACCCAAAGCAAGGTTCTGATACCCCTTTCCCCCCCTGTGGGGAGAGATGTGCCTCTGAAGTGAATTGCCTTGAAGCAGGGAGGGGGGCTCTGTCTTTAA